ACAGCCCGGGATTTCATAAAAGAAAAAACAGTTTGAAGCAGTTTTACCCATCTTTGCTCTGGCAGTGTTTTGATGCCTTGTTAAACTTGTTGAGGTGATAAAATGTTTACTGATTACTGTTTTGAAAAAGGCTGATAATTAAACACTGGGATTAATATTTGAAAATTCACTACGATGTTAGACAGCAAAATAGATGGCAAGTTACAAGACCACAAAAATAATTCACAAAAATCATTGAACAATGAAACAAAAGAGAAACAACTATACATGTATTTTACAAAGGACGGATCCTGTCTACCAGCTGGTCCTTAGTCAAACCTCTTGACAATATTTTTACAAGGATAACAATTTAGGTTCAAGAGGATCCTGTCTACCAGCTTGTTCTTGGTCAAACCTCTTGACAATATTTTTACAGGGATAACAATTTAGGCTCACGAGGATCCTGTCTACCAGCTTGTTCTTGGTCAAACCTCTTGACAATATTTTTACAGGGATAACAATTTAGGCTCACGAGGATCCTGTCTACCAGCTGGTCCTTAGCCAAACTTCTTGACAATATTTTTACAAGGATAACAATTTGCTGGTCCTTAGGCAAACCTTTTCACAAAGAGTTTACAAAGATATCAACTTATGTTCTTGGAGATTTCAGCTTCCAATTTTGTTATAATTTTGGCAAGCAATAGCCGAAGTATAGCAAAAATATTAAAAATATTAAAAAGATTAAAAAGATTAAGTAGAACCTGAACACAAATCATAATGGCAAATTACTAATGGTCCAAAAATTGTTGATTTTAAGATTTTTAAAGATATTTATATGTACAAAAATAAATGCAATTTTGTGATAACATACTAGAAAAAATATAATTATTCATTAGATAGGTCTAGAAATGGGGAATGGCGAATGGGGAAGGGAGTCTGACCTGGGGTGAAAAATTTTAAGACAATATCTTGACCTATGACAGATAACAAGTGTTATAGACAACCCCTCCAAATCCCCACAAATCCAGACAAACATGGGCTGATCTATCTTATAGTATTTAGATATTTTCTACCTAAACGGACTTTGAAAAATGATTATTGTAAAATATAGGATATGCTTAATATATATATATAGCGGTACAAAATAATTAACAATTAAATTCTGCGATGTGTCTTATCTTGATACATGTAATTCCCTTCTTGATAAAAATGTT